TCCAACTGCAACATTCTATCTATGTACCTTAAGGCTCTGACATTATAGCTTACCCCTTCCACTCCCATTTTGAATTTTCACTGTGTTTTCTTGCCTAGAAACTCACACTGCTTTTTATTGGTGCTCACTGGTCCTCACCACTAAGACAGAATAACCATTCCTCCTTCCCATTCACGAATGAGAAAGCCTCAGAGAGATTTCATCACTTGCTTGAGGTCACAAAGAAAATCAGGAACAGAGGTGAGAACAGATTCTAAGGGGCAACCATGGGGCAGCTATGTGGTGCAGTGGATAGAGCACTGGCCCTGGATTCAGGGGAACCTGAGTTCAAATCCGACCTCAGACACATAAAAACACTTACTAGCTGTGTGACCCTAGGCAAGTCACTTAACCCCATTGCCTACCCAAAAAAAAAAAGGCAGCTGTGGTAGGAACAAAGAGAACACCAGCTTTGGGGGCCTGAATATCAGAGTTTGAATCCTGACTTTGCTGCTTACTAACTGTGTGATCCTGGGGAAGTCACTTCCCCCTCTGGTCCTCCACCTTCCTCATTGGCAAGAAGATGGTTGGTAATACTTGCCTTACAAGGTCGCTGAGTTAAATGCTTTTTAAGGTTTAAAGCACCATAGGAATGGGAGTAATTGCTTCCGATCTCTCTGTCCACTCTTTATTGTCACTACTGCTCTAGCCAACATACACTGGTTAGTCCATTATGCTACATAGCTCCTTGGAAGGGTGATTGATTAGTGTTGGGGAGAGAGGATGCTGGGAGGGAAAGGGAATAAGTATTTATATGGTACCTACCATGTTCCAGGCACTGTTCTAAGTACTTTACAAATATTATCTCATTTGATTCTCACAACAATCCTGGGAAGTAGAGTGCTGTCATTATCCCCATTTTACAGTTGAAAAAACTGAGGCAAACAGAAATTAAGCTCAGGGTCACACAGCTAGTAAATATCTGGGGCTGGATTTACACTCAGGTCTTCAGTGCTCTCTCTATTAGGCTACCTAACTACTGGGGGGCACCCACATTTGCAGAGTCAATTCCTACAAGCTCTGTTGTGGTCAGGAATGGTTCCATTCCCCACCCACCCCCAGCCATATATAGCTGTCAGAAATAGCCCCTGACCATCTCCCTCCTTAAGTCAAAGAGTTCATTTAGACACAAGTAAGGAACTAGGAACCTTCCCTACTCATGCTGGTTTCCTTCCCCACCCCCTCACTCCATGTATCTACCCACTCCCCAACAGACCTGTTGAGGGCTGAGGCCATCGGGCATGGGACCCAGTTCTGGAGCTGGGTGCTTGATATCTGAAACAGTGACTTCCAGGAACCCCATGTCCTCCTCCTCTGAGTCACCTGGAAAAACAAATCAGAAACTGAATCTTCAGGGCTAGAGGCTCAAGGATGGATCAACCCTCTCCCCTAACTGGGGCCAGGACTCAAATATTCCTAGGCAAAGTTGTTCAATAAGGATATAACCTTTCCCCACCTCCACCTCACCCTCAATTCTGGAGAACCATTATATCCTCTGAAATTGAGGAGAAGATCAATAAAACCCCTCCACTGTGAGCTCCGTAAGAGCAGGATCTGTCTATCACCTCCTTTTATATCCCCTGGGCTTAGCACAGTGCCTGGCATATAGTAGGTGCTTAATAAAAAGTTGATTGGTTGATTGATAAAATTTATGACTGATACATTTGTTTCCTGGGATGGGTCAAAACTTCTTTGGGATATCAAAGGAATATCAATGACCCTAGAACTGTTTGGGAGCACAGCTCAGGCAAGTCTGCTGACCAGAATCAAAGAAACTTAGCTTAATGAGGCACCAGGAGATGAGAAAAGAGGGCAGCTAGATGGCTCAGTGGATAGAGCACTGACCATGGAGTTAGGAGAACCTGAGTTCAAATCCAGTCTCAGACCAGACACTTGACACTAGCTGTGTGACCGTGGGCAAGTCACTTAACCCCATTTGCCTCACCAGAAAAAAAAAAAAAAAGAATGGGTAGATGGGAAAGGGCTCTGAGCTTGGAGTCAGTGAATACAGCTTCCTTTACAGCTTTAGATCTATGATCCTATAAACTTGGTAATCTGATGTTCTCCCCCTCCAAGTAAACTGAACAATACTGTTGATTGAGACATCTACACAGAGGAAGGGCTCTGCCTCCCAGGACCTAACACTGCCTACAGCAGGCGCTTAAGAAATGATTCTTGGAGCTTGGCCCCAAAGAACTAAAATAATGTAGCTATAATAATTAAGTACTGGATGATAGGACTATATATGGATATTTAAATAATGTTAAATGAAATAAATGTTTCTATTTCTGCAAAAAAATATATATATAGCTCCCTCAACTCCTCTATGGAAGTAGGGAGCCTATGGATGGGGAATGTTGCATACCCTGGTCAGATTTTTTTCAGTGTATTAATTAATTTTGCTGATTTTTTTCTGTTCTTTTTTTTCCTTTTTAATTCTTTGTTATATGAGACAGCTTTCTAGGAGAGGGGAAGGGAGGGATACAGAGGTCATTTAGGTGATATAAAAACAAAAGATGTCAATAAAATTTATTTTTTTGAATGCTTATTGGCTAGGTAACCCTGAGCAAGTCACTTAAAATATCAGAGCCTAGGCAACTCTTTATAATTTGCAAATTAGCTGCTGCTCTGAATTGCTGGAGAGAGTTCCCCTACCAGGAGTTCCCTGCCTGACATAATCAAAGTACAGATGCCCCCCCACCCCCCCCCAGAAAAAAACCATCAAGGGGCAGAAATTGACTAGACTTCCCCTTCTGAATTGTACCATGAGGTTTGGTCATCTCTCCTACAGAGGGGATCAGTGGATTTACATCTGGAAGGAACCTTAAAGATCATGCAATCATCCACTTCAGTCTTCTCATTTTACAAAGAAAGAAACTCAAGAGCAGAGAGAGGCAGCGATTTGTCCAAGGTCATACAGGTAATAACTGACAGAGGGTCTCCTGACTCCAAACCCAGTACGTCCTATACTGGGTACGTGTAGGCAAGCAGGAGGGAGGGAGATGCCGCAGAAAGAAAGGAGAAGCGTCTGGTCTAGTCCAGATCAGGATTCAGTGGCAGGGTTGTTGGAAGGGAGGGGAGAGGAAATGGACAGAATCCCTGGCATGGCCCCTGGAACACGGCTAAGTGTGGAGGTGGTAAGAGTCCATCAGCCATTTTCCCCAGTCCCACCACTGCCTCCCTAGCATCAGCTCAGACCAGCCCAGACTGAACCTCTGTGTCCCCACCGCCCTAGAACTAAAAATAGTTTTCTTCTGAGTGCCAAAACCGGGAAAAGAAAATGCCTGTTGTGAAGAAATGTGGGCGGGTTTGTTTTCTTTCAAAGGAGAAAAGCAGAAGAGCCTAAAGAATCCTGATGATCTGAGACATGGGCGCAGAGGAGGGTAAAGAGGGCAGGGTTGGGCTGCAAGCAACAGAAAAGAAGAGAGTTAAGCCACAAGGTTGTGGGACCCTTGTTTAGGGGCCTTTCCAAGCTCTAAGCCCAGACAACAGGAGAGAAAAAAGCCACATCGGAGGATTGCTTCTGAAAACAAGAGCTGGCTGTGGGCAGACAGGAAGTAGGGGTCACCAAGATGCCAGGGGGCTGAAAGAGAGGCCAGCAGACAGAGCCAGACAACCTCACCGAGGAAGGGACGTCCCTTACCTGAAAAGGAGACCGAGGAGGAAGAGGAGGAGGGGCATCGGATGACAGTGTGGGACTGGCCGAGGCTGTCCTGCTTCACCCACATTGTGCCCCCGGCATTGCCCCGGGCCCACCGGAGCCGTCTGCCGGTTAGCTTCCTCTTGCCTCCTCCTCCACCACCACCGAGGGTTTCCATTCTTGGCCGGTGATTTGAGCTGGGGCTATTAATAATGCCTCTAGAGGGAGGGTCATTTTACCAAAGGCTTTGGATGAACTCTGGAGGTGGGGGGAGACTGGGAGATGGAGGAGGAGGGGAGAAGGAGGAGTGGAAAGGGAGGGGGAGGAGGAAGGGGAGGATGAGGGGGAGGAGAGGAGGAGGAGATCTCACCAGCATGGGGGTGGCAAGAATGATATCTATAGAACTAGCCTGCTACAGTTATGCTCAGCTGACCAATCTTTCTCCTTTCCCTAATTTTGAGATTACTCCCTTGCTGGGTTGACCTCCCTTGCTCACTGAAAGCCACTGAATCCTGAAAGAAGAAATCTTGGCAGGGCAAGGAAGATATGCCAAGTTTGGGTTTCGGCTTCCTGGCCAATAAGGGCCAGTGTATCTCAAGAAAGGCTGATGCCCTGGTGCCATTGTGGACCCAGACGCTGGACTGGGGACAGAGTGAAGGAAATTGGCTTTACCTACTGCCCTCCAACTCTAGGAAGAAGGTAATTTCTGTCTTTCTGTCACACGTGCTAGTGACTGTCAGCCAATGAAGAGAAAATGCAGCCTATGGAAAGGCAGTGAGTGTGTTGAAGGAGAAAAGAGTCCAAAATTTATAATTAATCAAGGTATGGGTCCATGGCCCAGTTCCAACTCTTAATATGTGACCTTGAGCAAGTCACTTTCCTTTTCTGAGCCTCAGTTTCCTTATCTGGTCAATAGCAATACTGGTCCTAGCAACTTCATAAAAGAATTGAACCTCAGTTTCCTCGTCGATAAAATGTCTTGTGGTAGGAGCAATGTCTACTAAGGACACTGTAAGGTAGGCTAATTTTCCCCCCAAAGGCAATGAAAACTGCCTTTGACAGAGCTCCAACCATGGATGTAGCTCTCTGGATATTTAGGTACCATCGTCCCTTGTGTGAGGATTCCGGGATCCGTTAGGCATGACAAACACTTGGTAGAACAGGACCAATTCTAATGCAATCAATCAATAAGCATTTAGTAAGTGTCTACTACATGCCAGGCACTGTGCTAAGCTCGGGGGATACAAAAAGAGACAAACAGTCCCTGCCCTCAAGGAGCTTACAATCTAATGGATGTCAGGGAAGCTACATTCAGTGACTCAATGCTCTATTCTCCACAAACACCCTTTCTATGTTACTATTAATTCAACCTCCTTTAGTTAAAGGTCAGATGATCTCTGTGTGTCCCATTTCATGCCTGTCCTGAACATAAACCACCAGATGGGCCTGACTCACGCCTGGCTGAGAATTTGTGGGTAATAACACTTAGCCTATGGACTTTTACAGGGATGTCAACCCCAAAAAAACTTTGTAAGTAAGCCTTGGACACTCTAGAAATTTAAGTGATGATGATGGTGAGGAAAGGACAATTAAAACAAGAAGAAAGGTCCACATGCCCCCTTGAAAAGGGGGAGAAAGGTCCCCTTGAGGTCCCCCAGGGTTTTCTGGGAGAAGAGGATGAAACAGGAATAAAGAATGGGCATGATAAAAATCATGGGCCCATAGACAGCTTGAAGGGACTAATTAGAGGGCATCAAACTCAACCTCCTCATTTTACAAAAGAAGAAACTGAGGTCCACAGAGGTGAAGTGGCTTGCCCAAGGTCATATAGCTAGAAAGTGGTAGAGCCTAGATTTGAATTCAGGATCTGTGATTCCGAACCTGGTGTTCTTTCCAAAGTCCTCTGCTGCCTGGGAACTTGGTGGTTTTTCTTGAGGAAGCAAGACTGTGCTTGTGAAAAGAAGGGGAAATCAGGAAGCTGAGATGAAAGGGGGTGATGAAACTAAGTCCTCAGCTGAAAAAGCCCATGGGTGTGTATCCCCAGACCGCCTTTGAAGAACGCCTCTTCCCTCACTCTGGGTGAGGCTCACATCCCCTCCAGCCCCCGCTGCCAGGCTCTTGCCAAAGGCAGAAAGAAACTGGTTTCTAACAACATTCTGAACCCACAGAAACAAACAAGGGGAGGGGACAGAGAATAGGGCCAGCATCCCCACAGGTGGCTGTAGGACAAAGGCCCCAGCTGAGTCACAGGAATAGAAGACCTCAGTCACAAGCATTAAGAGGGCAGGACTTGAGGAAGGAGGCAGACGGCCAGGTCTGGCACCACTGGGGAGGGTGCAAAGAGGGAAAAGGGGTGGGGAGAAGAACTCTTTGGAGTCAGAAGACCTGGGTTCAAATCCTGGCTGTGCATACTCACTGTGGCAAATCACTTAACCCATCTGAGCCTGAGCATCTTCATTCATAAAATAACAGAAGTAGAGGCCTGTGACGCCCCTTCGGGTCCTGATTCTAGGATCCAATGACCCTGGGGAAAAGGCAAGATCCCCTACCCCAACCAGAGCAGCCTAGACACAGAGCTACCCTAAGAGAGGCTGCTAGGTGATGCAGTGGGTACAGCATTGGGCCTGTAGCCAGGAAGACCCTAGTTCAAATCCAGCCTCAGACACTTACTAGCTGGGTGACCCTGGGCAAGTCACTTCACCCTCATTTGCCTCGGTTTCCTTATTTGTAAAATATTTGTAAAATAAGGTACTAATAGCACCTACCTCCCAGGATTGTTGTGAGGATCAAATGAGATAATAATTGTAAGTGCTTAGCACAATGCCTGGCACAGAGTAGGTAGTGTATAAATGGCAGCTATTATGATTATGATTATGATTATTCAACTCAGACTTTAGCTGTATGACCCTGAGCAAGTCACTTAACCTTTAGCTGGCTCAGCTTTGTCATCTATAAAATGGGGATCACCAGGGTTGTGGCGAAGACCAAACAAGATCATAACTGTAAAGCACCTAGCACAGTGCCTGGTACATAGTAGGTAGTGTATAAACAGTAGCTATTATTATTAAAAGTCCAAACAGGAGCATCGGATACAGTGGCAACGTGGTACCCCTGATTCTCCTAACTGGCCTGCCTCTAGCTCCCCACACAAAACACTAAATCTTCTACCTCCATGGGCCATCCCATATCACCTCGACCTCTTCAAGACTCAACTCAAGGACCACATCTGACACGGGGCCTATTCTGATCACCAGAGATGTTGTTGCTTCCCCTCATGGGAAAGAAATATCTTGGCATTTCCTTTTTGTATATTTCATTTTTATTTGTACATACAGTGTTTCCACTCAATAGAATGGAAGCTCCTTGAGGGCAGGATTTATTTTCTTTTTATCTTCATATCCCTGGCAAACAAGTCAGTACAATGCATGGCACAAAGATCTAGAGCTCGAAGGTCATCTAGCAAGACCCCCTCGGATGAAGCCTCGAAAGACTGTGATTTGTCCGAGGTCACATAGGTGGCAACATCTGGGCTGGGATTTGAACCAAGGTCCTCAAACTTCTGAGCTGATGCTCTTTCCGCATGTAACACATTGCACTAGATACATACCCTCTCAATGAATGAACAAATGAACATGTGCAGATCTATGCTTAGATAAGGCACAGTCCTTACAGTCTAGTAACGAGAAAAGAAGCCAATACTATGAGACCTGACCTTATTAAAAGAGAAGTACACAGCAAAGGGTCCTGAGAGGATCAGAGGGGAAAGCTGAGAGCAAAAGGATCTTATCAGGAAAGGCTTTCTGGAAGAGGGGGCCCTGTAGCTGGGTTTTGAATGATGTCATACCTAGGACTTCTTTCCTGTGCAGGAAGGAGACTTTGCGCATGACCGCCATCCTCGTCTTTTCCAGCCCATCCTTGGTCCCGCTCTTGGCAGCCTTCATGAGCTGGGTCATCTAATAGAAGAGAAGAGGAAAAGCTTGTCAGAAGCAGAGAGCAGGGCATCCTTGTGCCTTTGACCTCATGGTTCTAGCCCAAGACACTCCCCATCTCCTGGGCTCACTCTGGGCTGTGAGCAGCACCATCTCAGCCTGGACAGCGCCTTCCATGGGGCATATGCCCAATGAATATTTGCTGAATCAAATTGAACACAGAATGGGGCTCCTAGCCACCCCTGCCTCCTTTTCCATCTTTCTGTCCTTCTTACTGAGAGATGATCTCTAAGGTCATAAATGAATGAGACCAATGTGGGAGGCAGTATGATGTAGTAGAAACATTAACAATAAATCATTTTAAAGGTTTGCAAAATAATTTATAGCTAGCATTTATATAGTGTTTTGAGGTTTGCAAAGTTCTTTACAAATGTTATCTCATTTGATACTCACAACCACGCTGGGAAAAAGGTGATATTATCCCCATTTTATAGTTGATGAAACTGAGGCAGACAAAAGTTCAGTAACTTGTCCAGAGTCACACAGCTTCTAAGTGTCTGAGCAGGATTTGAATTCAGCTCTTCCTGATTCCAGGGATAGCGCCCTAATCACAACTACCATCTAACTACTTGTTCTTTTTTCCCCATTCAATATGTCATTTGATCCTAATAATGCTGTGAGAGGAGGATGATTATCCTCATTTTACAGATAAGGAAACTGAGGTTCAGAAATTAAGAACCTTGCCCAGGGTTCCCCAGCTACCCAGAATCGCAGGTAGAATATGAAACAAAGCTTCTTGACACCGAAGTCAGCATTCTATGGGTCTCAATTTTTTTTTCATATTATTCTTTGCCATGGAGAATTAAGATATACTACAGAAGGGTTAGGGAGAGAGGGCGGGGGATAGCTTCAAATGTGCATTTGTGATTGATGGCACATTTAGATGAAACTTTAAGCAATGCAGGGCTTCAGTTTCCTCCTGCCAAAACATCAAGGATCTGTCATTTTGCTGACATGGGAATTTCCAGGGTAGGATTCTCCATCTGCTGACAAATATTCCAAATCATTGATGATGGAAAGGACCATAGACTTAAAACTAGAAGGAATTTTAGAGGTCATAAACTAACTCCTCATTTTTCCAAAAAAGGAAACTGAGGCACAAAAAGAGTTAAGAGATTTGCCCAGGGTCACACAGCTACTAAGTGTCTAAGGCAAGTTTTCCTGAGCCCTGGTCCTCCCGTAACCAAGTCCAACCTTGTATCCACTACTCTGTGAGTCGCTCTAATAATACTTCTATTACCAAAAGGGTTGTTATGGGGAGAACATTCTGCAAATCGTCAAATGTTACAAAAAGATGAGTTCTTTTTATTCTTGGGGCCAGCACAGGTTTTACTGCTCAGTTTTTTAAGATCCTGAGACTTTCAGTCAGGTAACAATAACAGAAAGAGACCCAGGATTAGAATCACAAAGCCTTGGCTTCAGGCCCTGATTCTGCCATTCTGTAGCTGGGTGAACTTAGACAAGTCACTTACCCTGGGCCTCAGTTTCCTTGTAAAATTAAGGGAATTAGATGAGATGATCTTTAAGGTCCTACTAAGCTCTGAAAAAAAATCCCAAGACTGAAGAGGCCATGGAACATACAAATGGTGGAGGTATTTCAGGGACAAGATACTCAAGGGACAGTAAAACTTCCAAAATGGACCTCTGGCATGGAAGGAGTGAGGTCCTGGAAGCCCCACCTCATCTAAGAGTCTCACTGGGTGCCTCCCACGAGACTTTTTATCATGCTCTTTTCAGGGACTTTGCCTCCATTTGAGGCTCCCTATTATTGGCAGGGACACCCACCCTCTTGTAAAGAGAGGACCCTTCCATTGGGAGCTCCTGATTTACTGTTCTATCTTCCTTGGTCCCCTTGGCCCCTGACCTTCAAGGCTCAGAGTCTCCTTTTAGGTAAAAGGGAAAGGGAAGACGTTGCTACTGACTTAATGTCCTAACTCCTGAATGATTCTGGGCAAGGTATTTCATGTTATTGGGGGCTTCCCTTTCCTTATGTAGATAAAAACGAAGGGTTTGGATACCATTTTCTAGGGTTCCTTCTGTCCCTTATACTTGCTCTTCTAAGAACTCTCCCAGCTCTGACATTCTGTGTTCTAAGGGCCCTCCCAGCTCTGATATTCTCTGTTCTAAAGGCCCTCCCAGCTCTGACATTCTCTAGGGTTAGGATTAGGGTTAGTGTCCTTCCCAGCTCTGATATTCTCCCTTCTAACAGCCTTTCCAGATCTAACAGAAAACCTGTCACTAACCAACCTTACAGCCTTAGATGACTCATTCCTTTCTCTGGACTTCAATTTTCTCCTTTAAAGGGAGTTCTCAGTCTTCTGAAAAAGACACATACTGGAAAAAAGTCCAGGAACTTTCAAACCCCAAGCAGGGCAGTTTCTGTGATTGGCGTTTCAGGATTGAGGAGTTTCCCCAAAATGCAAGAGGAGGAGGGGCAGGTTCTGAAAGGAGGGAAGTAGAGGACAGCAGGAGACGCAGGAAGTCCCTGACCACAGCTGAGGAGGCCTCTTTCCAAACCCTGGTACTGTCCAGGGCTTTCAGTTTCTTGGGCCCCCTCGCCACCCTTTTTTGTCCACGGCTCATCTCCCAGACAGACCAGCAGCTCCCAGGAGGCAGGGGTTGGGTCTTCTGGAGGGCAGTACAATGTCATGGAAAGAGGGCCAAACTCGGGAGTTATAGCCCTAAGAGCCCTCCCAGCCAATTCTCTTACTTTACAGAGGAGGAAACTGAGGTCCACAGAGGCAGGTCTACTCAACGTTGCACAGAAAGCATCAGAACCTACATCCTCTGACTCTAGAGCTAACCATCATGGCAGACATAGATTGACAGAAGGGAGCTGTTCTAGATCAAAAGGGAAAATAAGATAGATATAGATACAAAAATATTTATAGATAGAACTATTCTAGATCAAAGAATCAGAGCTCAAGAAATGGAAGAAAGCTCAGAGGCCATCTTACAGAGGGAGAAACTGAGACCAGAGAGAGAAAGAAGCTATCACAAAGGTCTTCACACCACCATCACCACCCGCTTCCCCCATTGCTATAGCTCTTTACAATGGACACAGTCCTGTCCTCATAACAATCTTATGAAGTAGGTTGGGCAAGGATCATTATTAACTCATTTTACAGATGGGAAAACCGAAGCTCATGTTTTTATGTTTTTCCCAGGGTCAAATAGCTAGCAGGCGCTGGATCCAGGTCTCTCTCAGTTCCTTGTTCTCCTTGGGGGTACCATATTGATGACGTTGGTGTCAGGAAACAAAGGGGGCACTATGGGGGAATTTCTCCCCTTTCTCCAGAGCAGAAGAGCCCTACGCTAGGCCCAGAGGCCTGGCCTGCAAGAAATAGGTGCATCTACCTCTGGGAAGTTATCCCACCTGGTATAAATGAATGTCACACCTGAGACAAAGAAGAAGGATCAGGAGAGACTGCTGCCCTCTCTCCTTAGTTCCTGAGGAAGTCTGAGGAGCAGACACTGCCCTATACTTCTGTCCCTACCCCTATATTTACTCCCCATGGAATCATGGGATCACAGTTTATAGCTAGAAAGGACCTCTAGTCCAAGTCTCTCATTTTACTGAAAAGGAGACTGAGGTCCACAAAGATGACCAAAGTTACACAGTCACTAAGTGGCAAAGGCAGGATTCAAACTCCCAGCCCTTGGACTCCAAATCTAGCACTCTTTCTACTGTATCACGTGGCCGCTCATGCAAGAGATGAGAGTCGTTCCAGGGACTAGAGAGAAGGACAGAGCCAAAGGAAGTCGGAGTAGTGCAAAGCCCTTGCTCTGGAGTCAAGGAATCTGGGTTCAAATCCCAGCTCTAACACTGACAACGACCTTGGGCAAGTCACATCCTCTCTGAGCCTCACTTTCTCCATCTTCTAAGTGAAGAGACTGAACTAGGTAGAAGGCTGCTGAGGTGCCTTCTCAGCACAAGAACCATGATCCTCTGGCCTAGGCTTGGATCTCAGCTCATCCCCTTGCAATTAGTGAGGCTTTGGAGAAATCTCTTCTCTGGGCTTCAGCTTTCTCATCTATAAAAAATGAGATTGGATGAGCTCTGAGATCCCAGCCAGCTTGAAAGTCTCCAACCCTAAGCAACCTCCAACACTAAGAAGGATCAAAGAGACATCACTGGGTGTCGGGAGGCCTTCTATCATGTCCCACATCTGTCAAATTCTTAGCCCTGTGACATTAGCCCAAACCATGGAATCTCACAGTTGGCAGGTCACACAATGTCTCAGACAAGCCTGTTTCCTCATCTATAATCTGGACTATAGGATGCCAAAGGTCTCTTCCAGTTCAGAATTCTATAATCCTGTAGACTGGGGAACTGAGGCAGGGCCAAAGTCAAGACCCCTTTATCCTTCAATATCAGACATCATGAGTTCCACTTACCCAAAACTGGGGCAATGGCAAAGTGTCCCTTGGGTGTTACTGTCCACTAAAGGCTTTATTTTTTCATATATATATATATATATATATATGTATGTATATGTATATACACATATATATACATATATATACACACATGCATTTGATATGTGTGTATATGTGTATATATCCATGCACATTTGTGTATATATGTAAATATACATACATGCATATATGCATACATCTAAATATACATGTATGTATGCATGCATATAGCTACACAGACACATATATACATGTACATGGTTATAAAAAGCCACATGATAAAGCATCTATCATTACACACACCTGTGGATTACCTTTGGCAGGTGCCTACCTAAACCTACCTCTACACTTGGATCTGGTTCCACCCTCCAAAGTCCTAGAAAAACCTAGAAACATTTCCAGAGAGCAGGGATACAGATTCACAGAAGAAACGCAGCAAGGTGGTATAGCAGATAAGAGCATTGGACCCGTAGTCATGAGTTCAAATCCAGCCTCAGACACTTCCTAGCTATGTGATCCCAAGCAAGTCACTTTACCTCTGCCTGCCTCAGTTCGCTCACCTGTAAAATGGGGATATTATCAATCACCTCTCAGGGGTTGCTGTGCAGATAAAATGGGATAATATTTAGAAAACACTTAATAAACTACAAAGCACTATGTAAATGTCAGCTGTAATTAAATGCCCATAGCCCAGGGGGAGGGCTAATGATGGGTAGGTGACAATACCTTACAATCGTATTTCTGCTTCAGGTCCTGCATGTCTCTCCCCCCAACTCTTAAAGCCAAGATGTCCCTCTTAGTCCTGGCGTATCTCTCCTTTAGCCTAGACAGATCTGGAGAAAGCTGGAGCCCCCAAAGCGGTCAGGCAGGCAGGCGGACGGGCAGGCACG